TTTTTTTTTTTTTTGTCGTTGACAGCTTATTAAAAACAAGAATTGTCGTAAAATGTCGTCAAAGTCTTCTGACATTTCTGTGTGGAAAAAAATGATTTTGCTTTTCAAAATCGGCAGAAAACACTTTTTATCTTTGTATTTAAGTACTTTATGGGAATAGAGTGTTCGACTGCCTTTATTCTTTCGTTTTGAAAATTAGTTGGGTTTTTGGGGGGTATTGTCGTTCAGAACAGAAGCACTATGTTTGGGTTCGATTTACTGCGTTGAAACGTTATTTAGAACAAAAAAAAAAAAAAAGAAAAAAAAAGATGACGTAATTTAAGACAGAAGCAGACGACATTAGTTATTAATAAATATCTTTTTAAAATTCTAGGCACTTATATTTGTATCACTTAAATATATGGAATTTTCAAGACCTCTATGGTAGAAATGAAACCGCTGTATATGAACATCTGTTGAACAACTAACAGATTTCTTGAAAAATTGGACCTCAAGATAGTGACAAAAATTGTTAAAGAAGAAAAAAAAAATTTGAGATTCAATTGTGAAATGAGTGTTAAAAAAAGTTTTTGGTATATATTTTTTAAAACTGATTACTTTTGTTGTCAACTATTCTTCTGAAGGTTAATATTCAAAGTTTTTTTTTCAATGACACTGGTGGATGAGGATATTGAGGTGTTAAAGTTTTAAACTTCGTTTAAGATCATCTTTTCTTTGCACTATTAATTGAAGCTCATATTTTCGTTGTTGAAAACTGTTTAACAACTGATCACTTTTTTTTTTGCTTACTACAGATACGTTGACTTTTGTAATGTTATCTTTGGGAAGAAATGATATGAAGGAACTGAATCAGTTGCTGGTTAAAAATTAGCGTGTACATTAAATTCTGTGTATAAAACTTTTGGGGGGTAGGATGAAGTTTATTTGGACTATGTTTTAAGCTACCATCTGTTGTCAAAGTTATAAAATAAAGTTAGTGAGTTAAGAAAATGAAAAGATTCAGTATTTTCTTCGTTTTACAAATGATTAAAATGGATAAAAGACTGCAGAAATGATAGCTATTAAACTTTCAAATTTCTTCTGCAGTTGTTGTTTATAAGTGGTTTTTTTTTCTTTTTTTTGTTTTGTTTTGAAGTTAAGAAATGCTTTTAAGCTAGAAGACAGTTTAATGGTAACATGAGATTCGGAAAAAAAAAATGAAAGGTGAGAAAGTTGATGAAAAATTTGTTACAATCAAATATTGAATTTTTATTGAACAGAACTGGTTGAAAAGAAAAAGGTATAGCTGAAATGATCTTTAAAAAAAATACAGGTGAATTTGTTGCCAGTAATTTGCCAAATTTTTTTTTTTTGAAGAATAATAAAGGTGAAAAGAGAGCTGCTTCTTTTTTTCCAGGCGGTATTGCACACTGTTATTTCAATCCAAATCAATGTGATAGTCGTTTTCAATAAATTTTACCACCCAAATATTAAAACCTTTATTTTTTTTTCTTTTTTTTTTCATTTTTCAAACTGCATTACAACTGAAAAGTTTATTGATAAAACAGATGAAATACGATGCAGAAAAAAAAAAGAAAAAAGAAACATAAATTGTACTATTGTTGAAAGCGAAAAAAAACCTTTATCTAAAGTTTAAATTTAATTTTTTGTTGAAAAAAAAAAACGAGTAATAAAATAATCACAAAGTTTTTTGAACTTTCTTTTTTCTCTTTCACACCCCTCCCTCCCAAAAAAAAATTCCATTTAAAAACAGAGGTTTAACTATTTGGAGGTGCTGTCAACAGATAGATAGCCGAGATACTTCAAAAAGCTGAGATGTATCATTGAAAAGTTTGGATGAATCAGATTATTTGACAGCAAAATTGTTGCATACATATTTGTTAGCTATTTTTTACTCAAATTTTTCTTTTTCTGTTCTTTTTATGCTTAAACTAGTACAGTCTTAAGTCTGTTGCTTTGGTAGATCGTTTTGTAAACTGTATTCAACAAATACGCATATTGAAAACCGGGGCGGCTTCATTTTTCAAGCTGTAACATATCAATGAACAATTAAAAGTGGCTACCGTAGCATTGAAAGGCTTGAAAAAAAAACTTTAGTTCAAGCTAGTTAGCGATATTTTAAACACTAACCGCCATTTTTTTTTAGCTTTACAAAAGGCAAAGAAAACAGATAACCTAGATTCAAGTTTTTTTTACGTGTGTGAGTGTGTGTTTTAGTGTATTTAATACAGCATGCTAGTCTTTTTTTTTTTTCGAATACTTTCATCTTACAGTCACAGTAAATTTATTACCCGTTAACAGTGAGCAGATAAACCAATAACTTTTTTTGCTATTTTAAAGATTCATTTTTAGAAAAATGTACTAATCTTTTTTGCGAAGTTTTTGTTTTAATAAAAATAACCACTAATTTTTTTGATAACTCAATGGATATATAAACTGCAAAAAATTGTCATTAATAACAATCAGTTTGAAACAAACAACAATTTGAAATTCTTGTTTGAACGAAAAAAACTATGCATATAACTTTCATATAGAATTTATGCAGAAATCATGAGAAGAGAAATTTTTTTTCTTGCAGATTTATACATTATAAGAGGTTTTTAATAAAACATAAAAAAAATATTGTAAGTAAAAGTTTTTTTTTTATCTTTTGTTAATTTACAACACTTCAAAAATACACAAATTAAAAAAAAAAAAACATATATTGACATAATTTGTTACAGCTTTACTGCATTACGGTAACTTTTCGTAACATATTATTTAGTAAAGTTCGTTTTTCGTGTCTTTTAAAAATCAAGTCAATTAAAAAATCAGGTTCAGAAGTTTGGATCTTTTTTGACAATTTAATTTTTTTGCCTTGTTTTAGTAGTTACTTTTTAAAAAATATTATTTCTTCTTCTTTTTATTACTTTTTTTTGTACATTTATACTCACAGGAGCTTCGTGAAAAAAAAGCTGATCTTTTTTTTCAACAACATTCTAAAATAAACTCATTTATCAAATCTAAGAGTGGTTTTGAAAAAATGTCGTATCCGGAGCAACTTTAGATTATATCAATCAATTTTCTAAGAACGTCATATAAAGCTGTATAGTTTTAAACACATCTTCAACAAGTTTTAATAAGTCAAAAGCGACAAGCAGTTATCTGCGTTATAAAAACATAGCACTTATTTCTTAACACTGGAAAAAATTTAATCTGAAAGCAAATCAGCTATGAACAACTGAGATAGATCTTTGCAGTGCTGAACATAGATTAGTAGTTATGATTGAGTAAGCTTAAGTGATAACTACTGTTTTAACTTTTTCTTCTCTTCTGCTACACACAGATGCTTTTTTGATGTAAAGCCTCATTTTCTAGAAACGTTCTATAAAGAACAATTTTTTAGAATAATCTTAAGGATTAATTTTAGTTTTTTAAGCGTTACAGGAAGGCGTTGTTCACGGTGGATTCAAGCTGTTCAATAATTTGTTACCGTTTGCAAAATTCATAAACCATAATTTTGTAAAATTTATTGGCTTTTTTTGGACTTTCGCACACTTCTCACTGACTAATCTTCCAGCTGCAGTAGTGCAGTTTCATTTTTTACACAAATAAAGAGGAACTAATTTTAAAAAAAAAAATTGAGTGTTTTTTTTTTTATAAATTTTTTTTACAAATGAGCTTATAAAAATTAAAATCGGAGAAAAAAGCTATAAACAGAAGCGATAAACAGTTAACTTTTCTTTGTCTTATCAC